TAAAATAATGCCATTTGCAGCAACATGGATGCTCCTGGAGAATGTCATTGTAAGTGAAGTAAGCCAGAAAGAGAAAGAAAAATACCATATGATATCACTCATATGTAGAATCTAAAACAAGAAAAAAAAGAAGAAAAGAGAAAAAAGGACACATGAACTCATTTACAAAAGAGAAACAAACTCTCAGACATAGTAAACAATCTTATGGTTATTGGGGGAAAAGTGTGGGAAGGGATAAATTTGGGATTTTGAGATTTGCAAATGTTAACCACTATATATAAAAATAGATTAAAAAAACAAGTTTCTTCTGTATAGCACGGGGAACTATATTCAATATCTTGTAATAACCTTTAATGAAAAAGAATATGAAAATGAATATATGTATGTATATGCATGACTGAGACATTATGCTATACACCAGAAATTGACACATTGTAACTGACTGTACTTCAATAGAAAAAGAAGACATTATTGTTCACAGTAATTTGTATGTTACTTCTCAAGGGTAGACCTATTGTAATAGCATCCTTAACCTAAAAAGTATTATGTCATGGTAGAAAGTTCAGTCAGCAAAGCAGGCTTCTAGGAAGGTATTTTGGGCCAGGAAGGCCTTTCTAGGGATCACCAAGTCATACCATGTACATGAATACCTACTTGGCCTAAGCAGTGAGTTGCCCTTTGTTATTATATAATGGTTTCTCCTCTTTCGAGGTATTAAAATGGCCTGCTACCAACTACTGGCAGTTATTTTGTATTCACGTTTACTGTGGTCTCATAGTTAGGGCCTGAATCCTTAATCATAAATTGCTTCTTTAAAGGAAATTTCAGTGACTTACCAGCACATTGGATCTGGATAAGTCATAAGTCAGACCTATTATAGATTTCTAAATAAGAAAACCCTACCAAAAGGACACTTTACAGTTTTATTTCAGTTTTTATTTCTTCTTTTAATCATAAATTGGTCATGGTTCACTGAAGAGCAATTTGAATCACCCAGAAAAGGTTTCCAGCCTTTCTACAAACACGGCTGTCTTTTGGGGACTTTCCTTATTGCAAATATTCTTGAAAACTAACTTCTTGGCTTCTTTTTCTGTAAATGTCCCTGACCCATTAGATGAAGCTGTTCTTTCTTCCTGCAAATCTAACCTATAAACATTTTGAAATATAGTATTCTTATAATCTTAACGTATTAGAATTGTTTTGTTTTTTGTGCTGCCAAGTTAGCCTGGCAAAAACTGTGACATGCACATACATATCTAAAAGTGACCGTTGTCTTTCTTTCTTTACTCATAAAAATTGCAGCTGAGGAGTTTCTCCCCCCGCCACCCCCAACCAAGAGTATATTCTGTTTGCAGTAAGAGAGAAGTTTTTCATTAGTGACTGCATTCTAGAATGGGCCCACTCTATGGTCAAACAGTAGATATAAGATTGTTGAAAGATCTTTTTCTTCTTGTTGTGCTGTACTATGAGGAATGAAAGGCAATAAACCAGATTCTGGTATGGAAAGAGATGCCAAGGTTACAAACATTTACCTGAAAGAAGCAACAGGATACAAGTCAAAAATGAAATGAAAGTTGCTGTGGATAGTTTTGGTGGGCTGAGTTCAGAGCCAGAGTATTCCCAGAGGAATGGCAAAAACACATGTTTTTTCCTCCATCTCAAACTTAAAGGAGAACAAATGTTTTACATGTAAGCTTCATCAAACATAGTTTGCCCAATCATTTTTACAAAGTGAGAATGAGTTTAGAAAATGAATGCGTTAGAATTCTCAAAGAACTAGCTAGCAGGCTGAAGTGATTTGCACACACCATCTTTTTAAAAAATTGAGGTATAATTGACACATAACATTATATTAGTTTCATGTGTACAATATAATGCTTTGATATGCGTATACATTGTGAAATGATAATCATATTAAGTCCAGTTATCAGTCATTACCAAACATAATTACAAATTTTTTTTCTTGTGATGAGGATGTTTAAGATTTACTCTCTTAAGCAACTTTAAATTATGCAATACAGTATTATTAACTATAGTCATCATGCTGTACATTATAGCCCAATGATAGATTTATTTTATAACTGGAAGTTTGTACCTTTTCACTCATTTCACCCACCACCACCACCACCAATCCCATCTGGCAACCACCAATATATTCTCTGTATCTATGAGTTTGGTTTTGCTTGTTTGCTTGTTTTGACTTTTAGATTCCACATATAAGTGAGATCATACAGTATTTGTTTTTCTCTGACTTATTTCACTTAGCATAATGCCCTGAAGTTTCATCCTTGCTGTCTCAAATGGCAAGATTTCCTTCTTTTTTTAAAGGTTGAATAGCATTCTGTTGTATGTATATGCGCATGTGTGCATGTGTGTGTGTGTGTGTGTGTATAAACACATACATACCACATCTTTTCTTCTTTATTCATTAATCCATCAATGGACACTTAGGTTATTTCCAAATCTTGGCTACTGTAAATAATGCCTTAAAGAACATTGGGGTATATGTATCTTTTTGAATTACTGTTTTTGTTTTCTTCTGGAATATACACAGGAGTGGAATTGCTGGATCAAATGACAGTTCTACTTTAAGTTTTTGAGGAAACTCCCTACTGTTTTCCATAGTGGCTTTACCAATTTACATTCCCACCAACAGTGCATGAATTTTCCATTTTTTCCACATCCTTGTCAATATTTGCTGTCTTGTCTTTTTGATAACAGACATTCTAACAAGTGTGAGGTCATATATCATTGTGGTTTTGATTTGCATTTCCCCTAATGATTAGTGATGTTGAGCATCTTTTCATGTGCCTGTTGGCCATCTGTATGTCTTTTTTAGAAAAATGTTTATTCTGATCCTCTGCCAATTTTTGGAAAGTGAGATTATTTTCTGATATCAAGTTGTATGATAGATTTTTTTATTTATATAGTACTACATACATTTTGTATATGTAAATATACAGTCTAGATCTATCTTCTGAAGGAGTGTTCAATTAGGTCTTCAAAGGGCTTTTACACCAAGTATGTTTATCCCCAAGGTAAGCCAAATGCCTTTTTTACATCATACATGACCAGACTACTTTGGTTTTGTTTAAACCAATAAAACTGCAAATATTGCCAATGTTATGCAAACCTATAGCCTTATTTCTGTTCTTTTAATTATAAACACTTGAAAATGTCCTGCAGACCTATGTATTCTATGAGTTCTGCATTACTCTTACAAATTTTTCTCTGAAAGCTTTTTTCTGTCAACAAAACTGATAATTGGTGCCAAAATTGGCTCTTTGGATTCCAAGGATGGAGAAGAGTTACAGTCAAAATTATGTTAGCTTACTTGTTTCTTTAACAAATATTTCACACAGCTCTTGAACATTTGTTCTATGAACAATTGATATTACCTTTTTGAGTCTCTCTCATTAGATTTCGTTTTCCAATTGGATAAATAATGGTCACATTGTAATATACAGGACTAATAATAGAATTTCAATGAAATTGAAGACAGATATCTAGAACTTTTATGCCTTTAAGCATAAAAACAGATCAGAACTGTGTTGAGTAGCACCAGTAAGTTCCTGTTTTCCAACGATAAAGAGTGAGAGATCAACACAATGGATTGTAAGTGTGTTATAGCTTCTATGAACATAAACTTTTGTCCCTGAAAATGTAAGGAACACTTATTAAAGGTTATGTTTCAATACACCACAGTTGGCAATCTTAAAATAATTGAAAATGCTTTTCCCCCATAAATATTTATCTTGAGTAAACCATTTAATAATGAAGAAGTAGTCAGAGGTATGGGACATTTTCACATAGCTGGAGGAAAGGTGAAGAAATTACTCCTATTCTTTTTGCTAGTCAGGGGCAAT